AAATAAATATTAAAAATTCTCTCTCTCTCTCTCTCTCTCTCTCTCTCTCTCTCTCTCCTCTCTCACTCTCTCAAAAAAAATAAAAAAAATAAAAAAAAAAAAAAAGTTATATTTTCCAGCTAGAAGATTGTGAAGCCATTAAGATAGTAAATACAGAGGCCTTTAAGTATGTATTTATTGGGATACTTTACCTTATAATTATCTGTTGTATTCCACTAAGCTGAGAACTTTTCAATACTAGAGACCTGGTTTTTATCTATCTTTATATTCATAGTACCTGGAATAATGCTTGAAACCTAATATGCACTTTAACAAATGCTCACTGAATAAGTAAATGAATAAATGGAAATATGAAAAAAATTTTTTGCAAAATAAATGAACAGATCAAAACACAAAGTTGTGTATACTAGGATATAATCATGTAAAATATATCCAGATGCACATCATCAAAGACTGAATGGGAACGAGAATTAAAAATGGTCCTGTCATAATAGATGATTTTTCCTTTAATATTTTAATAATGCATAAGAAAAACACAAATGAAGGAAAGGAAAGTGATTGCTACCTTTCTGAGAAATATTGCCCACTTTGCCTGCCTGTTGGCTATTGGGAAATCAAGGGTGGGTTGCTGTGCCAGTGCCCACCCGGATGACAGGAGGCCTTTACCACCATCTGCAATATCAGGCTCCTTTCCACTCACTTCCAGATGAGTGCCAGGCTTTATTCTGGGCTTGCTTCCATTAGAAAAAAAGGAGAAATAGCCACAGGGTCCATCTTACTTACATAAAGCGTAAAGGCTGATCTTTTAATCCATATTTTTAAAATTATTAAAAACTTTATTATTCTTTATAATTCCAATTTACTTGTAATATTTCAAATATTAGGCCATTGTCATTGTGTAATATAAAAACTGTCATTTTCTCTGACAGTAAATATTGTATAAGTAGTAATTGGTGACTCTTCTCTAATTACACAAAAGACCAAAACCCCCCAAATAAACAGCAACCTTTAAATCTGAAGGACAGATTAAGGTAAAAAAACATAATACTAGCTTTGTAGTAATATATAATCAATCTATTAATCAATAAAAATATAATAGTGTATATGTACATATTAGATTATATTCTTATTGAATAATAGATTAATTTCTACTAAGTATTGCAGAGCTACACACACACACACACACACACACAAAATGTTGGCCCTTATGGACTCGTTTCTTGAAATAGCTGAATCAAGTAGAGAATCCTCAAAAATGATATGCATCTACCTTATTATCTAATTTTAGCTTAAAATCTCACAATATATATTCATTTGTCATTTATCATGTAATGTCATGATATAGGATCAAGGCCTTTTCCCTAAATATGGGTTTGCTGATTTGAGTTCCTTCCTTTGTGCATCCACAGTGCCTCCTCTACAATTCCCATTGATTTCTTTAACGTGCATTGAAAACATAAACGAAGCAATTGGAGTACATATCTTTCTAAAATTCCACAGCCTTCCACCCTCAATCTTTTTAGTTGTCCCATACATACCTAATTTGGTTGTGTTCGTTCTTTCCCTCCCTCCCTCCCTCCCTTCATTGAACTCAGGGGCACTCAATCACCGAGCCATATCCCCAGCCCTTTTTTATATTTTATTTAGAGACAAGGTCATGCTGAGTTACCTAGGGCCTTGCTAAATTGCTGAGACTGGCTTTGAACTTGTGATCCCCTTGCCTTAGCCTCCCACGCCGCTGGGATTATAGGCATGTGCCACTGCACCCGGTTTTGGCAGTGGTTTTCCTTTTAACCTTCAAATGTTATCTTTATCCCTTCTTACCACTAACTCTCTTCACATCTCTGTATTTTTATGATGTTTAACCAAGTATTTGATACCAATAACAAACAATGAGCTTAAGCAGGTTTTGGAAGAAACCACCCTGATCCTTGGTAGGATGAACAACTTTCTCATCTGGCAGGAGCCAGCTACCAGCTTGCAGCCCTCCCCCTCAGCGAGGACAGAAGGGAGAGTAAGCTGTGGTCCTGGAGTTGACAACATAGCCTTTGCTGGAGAAAATACTCACCCTGCTTCCGCCTCCTAGCTGGAGAGTGGTGGTACTGCTATGGAAAAAACCATCAAGGTGAACCTAAGGAACCCAGGCTGCCAATTAAGAAAAAAAAAAAAATAGCAGGCTGCAAATTCCTACATTGATTGATGTTTGCAGGGGCTGGGGTACTAAGGTTTGAACCCAGGGCCTCAGGCATGCTAGGCAAGTTACATCCTTAGCCCTTTTTTTAAAAAAAAAAAAATTATTCTGAGACAGGGTCTCACTAACTTGCCCTGGCTGGCCTACAACTTGTGATTCTTCTGCCTTAGCCTCCCATGCATGTGTGATTACAGGTGTGTATCACCATGCCTAGCTCTGGATTGTTATTTTTATTTATTTATTTTATTTTATGGGCCCTGGATTGATATTTCTAAAGAAGTTATTGTGAATACACATTTGAGTTATTTTAGTCTACAGTGGAGAGGACAGGGAAATGTAGGTGAAATTCTAATTATAGAAGAACAGAGATGGTATGTGGACAAGATTACCAGGAGAAGTAGATTTGAGGGCCTCTGGAGTCTTTTTGTGGGAGAGGGTATCAAAGTACATTGAAGCAGCTTTGTTTTTCTGTCTGTTATCTGTCTTGGGAAGTAGCTGCCTTTCTTCCTGTGTTGAATGTGCCT